TTTTCATGTCTAATGAATAATACGATTAGTATTAGGAGTATAGCAGTGCTCGCAGTGATAGGCAGTCGAGTGAGTGGTGGTGTGCAGTGGCCGGCATACAAGTAATACCCGTTTTCGCATCACTTGCCATTGCATTCAGATTGCGCTACCGATTCTGTTGCCTAACTTCCCGCATCCCAACCCATCCCATGCCATACGCTCTCCTTTCGCTACTTATTAAGGCATTCACTCAATGGTGACGTTATTTGCATTCAAATGCATTTCTCTTATGTTTTTATTGTTTCAATTGCTTTTTAATTATTATATTATTATATTCATTATATCATTCAATTTGTTGGCCTTTATTATCAAAATTACACTTTTAGCGCTGTTATTACTATAATTAGTATTTTTGTTATTATTTGGGAATTTTTTTATTATTCATTCAAACAGTTCTTTAACTTGTTTTACATTTATTTCTTAATTAACTCATATTATTGTTATTTAATGAAACCTCATAGATTTTAATTAAATTTGATATTATTTTGACAAATAGCTAGGAAATTAATTATTTGTTTGGAAATTAATTTAAATAATGATAGCAATGATCTGGGATTTCATTTATTTCTGGTCTCTATTAAAATGGCTGTGAGTTTACAAACGAAACGAAAGAAACTAATAATAAAAGTTATTTTTTCGGTTCGTTTTACTCGTGAATCCAATTAAATGAAAAAATAAAGTGATTTCGTTGTGATGGAAGTGATGTGCGGAGGCTCTACCGACTCTACACGAGAGCACTGTTAGCATTACCAGTACTGCCGAAGCCCTACCATTTTCAGTGAAAGAGAGAGAGAGAGAGAGAGAGATGTGATTTCGTTGTGATGGAAGTGATGTGCGGAGGCTCTACCGACTCTACACGAGAGCACTGTTAGCATTACCAGTACTGCCGAAGCCCTACCATTTTCAGTGAAAGAGAGAGAGAGAGAGAGAGAGAGAGAGAGAGAGAGAGAAGACATTAGAAAAGTAAAGTTTCTTTCATTTCCTCAGGGATTTGAGTCAACTTGATTGCACATAGTTTTATGAGTTGGTTGAGCGCTCACATCCATCGCCTCCATAGCCTCCATAGCCTGTATGGGTTGGCATCAGTGCTGACTTAATCCGTTGCAGACAGTGATGGACTGGCATTACTTGTTCTGTTCGAGAGCTAAGATAAAGGGGCTCTACGTGTTTGTCCTATTGAAAATGTGATTTCGTTGTGATGGAAGTGATGTGCGGAGGCTCTACCGACTCTACACGAGAGCACTGTTAGCATTACCAGTACTGCCGAAGCCCTACCATTTTCAGTGAAAGAGAGAGAGAGAGAGAGAGAGAAGACATTAGAAAAGTAAAGTTTCTTTCATTTCCTCAGGGATTTGAGTCAATTTGATTGCACATAGTTTTATGAGTTGGTTGAGCGCTCACATCCATCGCCTCCATAGCCTGTATGGGTTGGCATCAGTGCTGACTTAATCCGTTGCAGACAGTGATGGACTGGCATTACTTGTTCTGTTCGAGAGCTAAGATAAAGGGGCTCTACGTGTTTGTCCTATTGAAAAGGCATTCGCTTTAATTAAACCTTTATATAAGTTATACGAATACATGCGACAAGTTTTGCTTTCCTTCTCTCCTCTAAGATTAATGTTTGTTTGCAGCCATCGGTCCCTCTATTAAGCCTTCAATTTAAAACTTTTGATGCGTTGAATACCAAAAATGTAAATCAAAATATAATCAAACGACACATTCTGCACACAATTTTTGTTACTTTATGTTTTCATTCCCTGTTTCGTACTCTCTGTTAAACATTCATTTCTAACTCATCCAAACATTTCAATGATTTTTATTTTCACGAATCATTTACTTTGATATCATAGAAATGCTTGGGTTTCTGTGTGAGACCAGAGCACAGGTATTGATTGCATTGCAAATAATTCATATGAATAGCACGGCTTCGAGAATAACTAAAATACAGCCAAATGTGAGCAATGGATGCATTGGATGCCAATGAGGAGTACATTGAGATCAGTGCTCGAGAATAGAGTATATTTGGAGGCAATCGTCTCATTCCAGTCATTCTTTCAATTCATATGTGTTTCTACTTTTCTATTCACTCGAAAGCCATATAGAAAGCAATCAGAGAAGAAGTTTTCTCTTGAAAACCAAATGGTCTGTAAGAGAATTCAGTACACAATATATATACACATAATATACTAAAAGTAAAATAAATTGAACACACAGTAGAGTCGGTCGCACTTTTAGTACAATTAAATATTGGCTTTTCTTTGCTGTACAGTATATACCGCCGACTCTACTTTTGTGCCTTTATTTGCTATTTTTGCTTTCATTTAATATTCATTTCACGTCAATATCCAGGAGATGAGATTTCTATTTATACCAATTTATAGAAAATCTTAAGCAAAGCATTAGTTGTGAAAATAAGAGGGGTCTGTATTGGCTGACATGGTTATGAATACATTAACTATAATTGCGTCCAAATATGATTTGCACTGAAAACTACGTAAATCTCTATTTGGAGGGACCCTTACTTAAAGTGTTTGAACGTTTGAACACTTGTTCATTACTGTCCTGTACAGTATAGCTCATAATAGAAATAGTGTATATGATGTATGAATTGATGATTTATTTGTCTAAAATCGCAATATTGATGTGAAATATGTATGAATATAGAGCGCAAAAGAGGCCGACAGACGTACACCCGCTACCAAACACTTGAATTGGAAAAAGAGTTTCATTTCAATCGTTACTTAACCCGAAGACGGCGTATAGAAATAGCCCACGCGTTGTGTCTCACAGAAAGACAAATTAAAATATGGTTTCAAAACAGACGAATGAAGTGGAAAAAGGAGAACAAAAACAAAATTGACCAGGGAATGCCTATGGGACCTGGTGGTGGACCCTGTGAACTAACACCACACCATGATAATGGCCATAGAGGTGGCGTATAAGCCATTATCAATCTCTCCTTTCACATTATCTCTCGTCCATCATTTACACTATATATTCGTATTGTATATAATAATTGCAAAAATTAATATTAATAATAATTAATAATATTGTAGTGAAATGTTGTACAAAAATATTTGATATAAATTTGATGGGAAAGTGAACTAATCGTATGACTGAAGACAACAATAAACAGTGACTGAAATGAATGCATGAATGAGACAATGACTGGAGTGAGTCCTACAAGCGGACAGTTATTCGTCTCAGTAGTGCTTCTCAACAATACAGTGTCATTGACTTGACTTTTGGCGGACACGGATGCCATCATCAACGGTCTCATCCCCTGCTATGTGTCACACATACGATATATGAACCATAACTCAACTCTTCTCTTCCAACAACTGTTTGACTGTTTTTTATGCTCTGTTTAGAGATAGAGAATGTGAGGGAGAGATAGAGTTTCAGGATAGTTTTATTGGTCGTGCAATTAAAGGTTGTAAAAAGGTTTACAAAGAAATACTTGACTAAACTTTCACAATACAACCACCAAAAAAAGTTTTACAATTTCTAGGGTTTAGGACAACACAATTGTATTTGCATTCTTTGCTATCTATACATATAATGCACTTTTTCTCGTTATTTTTGGTTATTCTTTAGCTTAAGATAGTTTGCAAAAACAGTCAAAGACTGTCCATAGTATACAAAACCAGTTCTATCGGAGCCGATAGGGAAATAAAGTTTCGACAAACAATCTAACAATCAATTCGGTGTAGTTTTCAATTACTTGAGTGACAGTGCAGTCCATTGCAGTGCATATATACAGTATACGATATGATATTTATAAATACAGTATATATTATATATTATATTAATCATATCTTATTTAACATTTGCCGTACAATCAGAGTCTGTATTATTTACATACAAAATAGCATTTGGACAGTAAAACCGCAATTTGTGTTTATATTCAAAATTATATCCAAATCAGTGACTGACTGGTGGTTGTCATCAATGAAATATTTTCACAAATTATGCTCAACTCTCAAACATTTCTCATTTTGAAAGCACTGTAATGTATAAGATATACAAATATTGTATTCATTAACAGCATTATTATAATTTCTTATTCAATTGATGTAATCTATGGTCTTATTTATTACAGTTTATAAAAATGAGTGTCAAAACTATGTGAACCAAACGTTTGTTGTTTTTAACTTTATTAGCGATTCTATTATGTATAATAATAATTATAATGATTATTCATTCAAAACATTCAAATGAATTTTCATTGCAGTAGTAACTGAAACATTGATATTAAGAAATGTCGAGTTTATAAGTGTTGTATGAGTTCTCTACCAAAACCTCAACCGATATATAGTCCTTCTCTTAAGACTCATTTTAGGCTAAAAGTAAAGTATAGTCGAGTGTAATGACAACTCACTGTTATGCTAGCTATGGCTATGGCTAACAGTGCTATTGCCTAATATGTAATGCCTTCCCAACTCATTTCAGACAATTCTGACCCTATAATAATGTTAGATAAGGTAACCAAAAGTGCTACCATTGCCTATCATTTTGACTATTGTTTTGTCGTTTATGTAATAACGGCTTTACATATAAAAAGTTCATCGCTTAAACTTTCCCCTTTTTAAAAACATTTTGTACAACGAGTTGGGCGGAGATGTGATGATTGTATGAGTATATAAGTGTCACGAAATTGAATAACAATTTAATAATATATTTATTTCGAAACACAAATCTCAGCCATAGTATAGTGCTATCCATTTAACCCCTTTAACCCCCTCTCTCATCCCATTCCTCCACTCATTATACGGTGCTTTCAATTATGATTTAAAATAAACACAATATAAAAGTACAGTACAGTAGTGTTGACTAATGTGAAGGGAAAAGCAATCATAAGAAAGTGATAAAAAGCAATAATTTAGAGGTAATGAGACAACTGTAGATGAAGTGATCCATTGATTCTATGATTTCATGTGTGAAGCACTTCGCAGACTAATCACAAATCATATATCAAATTATATGTTAGTCTAAACATCATCTAATATATGTTTCAAATTCAAAACAAAGCATAAATTCTGACACATTTTTGGACGAGATTTTCATAAATATATAGCCAAACAAGTTTTGGAAAGTTTAAAACTTGTAACACATTTCAGTAATTAAAGTGCTATAACTTTTGAGTTAATGGTTAGCATTAATATAAGTAATGACTAGAAATACATTTGGTTTGATTAAAAATGACAAATTATTGGTTCGGCAGAAGTGAACGATACGGTGAATACCGGTTGAGTAGAGCCTCAAAGAGCGTAACCGTCTCTTGTTTTTTGTTGTTGTCGTCGTTGGTGTCGATGTGTTGGATGTGTTGTTAGCTCCGACACTACACACACAACACTTGCTATAATTATTGGGATTTATCGCTCAAAGTAAGTCACATTTATTACGAATACCACTTCTCGACTAAAGCCATATCCGTTAGAAATATTTATCGCATTAATAATTGTCATGATTGTCATTAAACTTATCAATACTGGACTCGACTTACTATCAGTGTTTCAGCTATTATTGTGCTCTTATGCTCTCTTATGGTCTATCACTCATCCATTTCTGTCATCTTATTTCCATAAATCAATTCTAATAAAGATTTTCATTTATAAAATAAAATAATATGCCATAACTTATCACAACTTATTACTAGTTCTAAGCATTTAATAAAAGCCATTCAATCAATCATTCTATGCATTCATTTCTTTAGACATTCTTTTGCGACAACTTTTCAAATAATTCTTTCAATTTGATAAATAATTACTTTAATCTTAATTTATTTTAGAACTATAGATCTAATGGCTTAAAATATTTTGATAAATAGATACACTTATTATAAATATTTATGGACATTTAATTTCATTTATCATTACAAATTACAATTGCTTTTATTTATAAGAATGGAGTTGTATTATATTTAGGCTATGAATACAGTTAAAATAAAAATTCTTTGAACACTATGATCTGAAAATATCATTTTACTTATTTGGAGCAAATTCAATTTAATAGATAAACGGTTTTCATTTGGAAATTTCAATTTTTATAATTCAATTCATAGTGTATTTAAAGTGAAATAAAGTGCGACAAAGAGTAATGTTTATTACGTTAAGATGGCTATCATTTCGGAGTGTAATGCCAGTCGTAAGCAAAAAAAATACATAAAGAAATGAAAATTAGGATTTTATTTTAGCAGACGATCATTGCTTTTGAAGTCCATTGACAGCAATGAAAACAGTTATATTGAAATGTGTGACAGAATTAGAGACCTGTTGACAACCCAGCAGTCAAGACGATCGTCATTACTATCACAATGTCATCATCTATTGCTCTACGACTCTATTACTGTCGGCCCCACACAATGGCCACATTACATGGACTCAAATGGATATCAGTGCCTATCTGTGCCCTTCACTGTAATCTCGAATTTATTTTGTATTAATTTTTTAAACAAATGCTTCTTTTGGTATGTTTTTATTGAATGCAATTTTATTGAATATTTAAGTTGTATTTGGGTTGAAATTTATTTATTTTTCATTTTTATGTTTACTTTATAGTGTTGTGAGCGTACAGACAGACCGTTAGCTAAGAAGTGATTTCGCGAATACAGTATAGAAGAGAGAGTAGAGGAGAGACTGGAGTTAATGGAAGACCGGCGCAAATGTATCCAAAAAGCAAAGTAAGTTTCAAATGAAATATGGCTGAATGCGAGTGTTGGCTGAGTTAAGGCACAATCTTGTGATACGGCATTAATATCTCATGTGTGCAGTCACTACAGACTCAGGAATTAATGTCAAAACTAATGCAATTCCAGTGGTTTTCTACTCAGACTCTGACTCTAATAATTGTAGAATTCATTTATTCAAAGAAAACTTTGGCTCACAATATCACAAAAACAACTGAGAGGAGAGAGATTTAAACTAATTTAATTATGTCATCGGATTAATGACTAACTCGAATATCAAACTTAGGAAACAATTTAATCTTAATAGTCATTTTAAGACTCATATATATTTCAAATTAAACAGCGAATAAGCATAAGTTATGCCAAACTCTCTCGCAGACTTCATAATCAAATTAAATATTGAGCCAAACATACTGTGAGCCATATATCAAATTATACACAGTATAGTTTTTGTTTTTTAGTTTAGAAATTAAATTTTGAAAAACAACAGAGTTTTGGAAAACAGAAAAATTTATGCTTTAATTAAAAAGATAAGATTCAAGTAGTTTTGTATTGAGAGAAGGCTTTTAATGAAATTATAGCCATAACTCTTGAGATAAGTTCAAACAAAAGTGATGTTCTTTAGATTGCTTTCAAAGACAACTCATATATTACTAGTCATACAGTTATCGTTTATCTGCCTTAATATTCAATACCAGAGCACAGGTGGCCGTCTATGCCTTCAATTTTTAGCAAACGTTTTGCGAAACTATTGTTATTCTCCATGAGTTATGTCATATTCAATCCATAATACTGTATACTGTAGTGCACTGTACTGTATACAAGTGTAGCGCTTTTAGATAAATATAATTTAACCCATTAATATGGCGGCAAATGTGGCAAATCAGATAAATATAAATGTAATTTAATGTTATCTAATGTGTAATTTTGGTCATCACATTTGAATAAAACCAATGATTATGTTACGCTAACAAATGAATGTTGAGTTTTCTTATGTTGAACTGTTGGACTAACTGTAAGCTGCGGACAAGTTTGTACAGTAGTGTTGGTGTGATATAATGGTGTCTTTGGCTTAATTGCATGATTTGATTGATGAGTGTTGAGTAAAGAAGTAAAGAAGTGTGTGCGCTCTTCTATGGTCCCAAATGTCAAATTTATTTTCATCAGTGAATCGAGAGATAGAGCGCTTCCATTATTATAACAAACGATTGGGCACTGGTGTCTCTGTGCACACCATAATTCATAGCACAAACA